ACTTGCGTAACTAAATCAAGGCGAGAACAGCAGCAGAATGGTCTGAGTACCGGCAACTGACAGAACCCTGAGGAGGGACAAGTGGTCGTCAGACCCTGGCTGTTTTGTCTGAGTGCAGGAACGGAGCCCAGGGCCTCGTGCACACAGCCAAGCACTGCTGTGAGCTCCATCCCAGCCTGACCTTGCTGCGGGCGTGGGGCACTGCACAGAACACGACGGGGTGAGAATGCACAGAGAAGGCAAAGAGGACTGAGTCGTTTATTCAAACATAAAACAAGACACTACATGATTGAAAAAATTTTTTTCTTTTTTTTTGGTGGAACCAGGGATTGAACTCAGGTCCTTTGTGCTTGCCAGAGAAGCGCTTATTCTACTGAGCCATCTCCCCGGCCCCTACATGATTGAAAATTTGAGAGCAGAAACAAAACTGAATAGTAAATGGGAAAAACAAATTGTAAAATCCTGAACCAATTCGACATTTAACTATCAAAAGTCATTAACTTTTAATTTTCAATATAAGTGCTTCATTTTTACATTCACAAAACTAATTACAGTGCAGTTAAGACTGTGAGTCTCCCTATTAAAGCTTCATTTTATCTGTTCAGTGAAGCTGTTTCAGATCACCAACGAGCTGCAGGGAAGGCTTCCCCAGACACATGCTCGCTTGGACCTTGTGGTGAGCAGGGAGGGCGTGGGCTGGGAAATGAGCATGGAGTCATGTACTTTGAGCCCTTTAGCAATTAGAAAACACTACTGTGCTCGGAGATGAGCTCCACAGGGATACCAAGATTAAGAGTAAGGTTTGCATTGTTAAAGTTATAGAGTTATAGACTTGCATTGCTGAGGCTTAAGATTGCATAATTGTGCATTCACTTAATTCTCATTGCTACTGCAGTAGTGAAACCCTAAAAGTGTTCTACGCGCTCTGGCAGAATAACGTGAGAGCGCGCGACTCTACCCACTCCCACAGTTCCAAGCTGCCTTCCAGTCAACGTGCCGCTCCTCCCTTCACGCCGTGTTGCCAAGTGCTCATTCCTAAAGATGAGCAGCTGTCATCAGCTGCATCATGTCATGGAAAGCAAGAAAGATCTGCTCAACGAGCTCTTCTGCGTCAGTCTCCGGACAAGACTTCCAGGCTGAGCAGGCCACAACGAACCTGTGGAGCACAGAGTGCGAGCGATTACACAAAGGCCCCAACTGCAACACCGGACAGCTGGGTGCTTCCTCAGCCTCACTGTTGAGGTGAGATTTCGCTGGCATTAGACACGTGTAACACGAGACAAAAGACGAGGCTGCATCAACAGGGAACTGCTGTAATCTACTAGACAATATGCTGAGGATAATAAGGAACAAAAAGAGTCCAAGAGTGCTCTGGAAGAAGGTTTTATGTTCAAAAGAAAACAATCAAAATGCTTCTTCCTAAAGTCACTGGAGTGGGTTGTAATATGAACTGATGTTAATGTTTGTAATGAAATTTCAACTGGTTTTATTTTATTTATTTATTTATTTTTGCGGAACCCAGGATTGAACTCAGGCCCTTGTGCTCACCAGGCAAGTGCTTATTCTACTGAGCCATCTCCCCAGTCCCTCAACTGGTTTTAAAGAAAGTATATTTGAACAGCATTTAAAAACAAAACTAGAGGTGGCTGCTTTCGAGCTTGAGTTGTTTTCCTGGGTTCCAAGTCCTGGATCACAGAGGAAAAAGATTTACCAACAGCGTGAATCAAGAAAAGCTAGCCAGACTTCAGGCTCAGGTCTGGACAGGGGCCAGAGTACAGCTCGTGGAAAGAAGGTGGTGTATAGAACAGCTATAACTGACAAAAAAAAGCTTCCGAGTTCTCCGAAAAAACTGGCAGCAAATATAGCTGGCACTGAAGAGGTGAACGTGGGACAATGGGTCAGAAATCATCTCAGCAACCCCGAAGTCCAAGCCTCCCTCTCTGCTAACAGCTTCACGATTACTGCTCAGGCAGCAGCCAAACCAATCACAGAAATGCTTCCCGGAATACTATTACATCGGCTTGGTGCTGATGACTTGTGACAGCTTCACAAGTCTTACTTAGGAAATGAGCTGGACAGTTCCCACGACAAGTGCGGGACAGCAGATCACTAAGCCAGAGGACAAGGGCAAGGAGGATGGCGATGTCCCTGATCGTGTAGAAAAGTTTCATGAAGCATCAGAAAATGAAGCCAACTAAATCTTTTCTGGTTTTTGGAAGCTGGCATAGACTAGATTAACAAATCAGCTCTGTGGTTCCAAAGTTTTACCAATACGGAGAATATCATTGTTACTAGTTCAGTAATATAATATTTTGTATATTAATAATGCTGTTTGTTCAGCATTTTTCAGTCATTTGATTTTGCATTTTGCGCTTCCTAACAAGATCTATTCTTTTGGTCAAAATATGAAGTACTGGTGCAGCTTGAGGATGAAGGGTTTGATTCTTGGGGTTTTTTTAGGGGGTAATTTGGGTATACATATGTATATGTATGCGTGTGGCTGTGTGTACACAATGGAGAACAGTTTGGAAAACAGTTCTATTTATCCTCTTCTTTCCCTCAGTAGAAATAAAACAAATCTTTACCAAAAAACAAAACAAACGAACAAAAAAACCAAAACAAAACTAGAAACTAATAAGAAGTGAGAAGAGTTATTTCTGGAAGAAGTAAAAAAAAAAGGTCATTTAGGACCAAGCCACACCCTCTGCCATCTCCTCAGGGATCCCTTCCTGGAGAAGTCCCAGATCTGGCCAGTGAGACAGTGATCGAGAAACAGAATCAGAGAAAAGCCTGCTTTCAGGGCCTCAGAGTCAAGGACCTGGCCACCAGCTTTCGGGGCACCAGCAGCGCCCTTTCCAGAATGCTAGGTTTGCACAAAGTACAGGGGTAGAGCTCAGAAGCTGCGTGCACCGGGCAACGCACGGTCATGCGTGCAATTTCCACTTCCCTGTAGTAACACAAAATCCTGTCCCCAGCATGGGCTGCGGACCACAAAGAGCCCAGCGGAAGCCTGCACTGCCCAAGGACAGCGCGACGGCGCCCAGGTCGCTTCGCACCTGGTGAATCTGTGAACACACAGAGCCCTGCAGGGCCCTGCCTGGTTTCTGCCTAGTAAGTGGTGGTCAATTTTCCAGCTATACTGTGCATGGGATTTGCAAGTATTCAGGCAGAATCTAAATGTTTCTTCCCATAGATTAACACTTCCTATTTAAGTGTTAGGTTTTTATAATTCAGTTATCCTTCTAAATTACATAAATCATCTTTCCTACTTGCAGACTGTTCAGAAAAGAAACACAGTACCAATAAACAATGAAAAATACTTCACTCCTTGAAGAAGTTATCTTTGTCTATCACATTAATAAAAATATTTTATAAAGCCTAGAGGTGGTAATGGTGTGATGAGTGAAAAAGGATGCATTTATAATGTGACACATAATTTCAATGATGGAGAAGCAGTTAGGAAAGTTATGGAGGACTGCAGATTACTCCTAAAAGCCAATTGAAAATCACTCAGCCTTAAAAATATGTTAAAGCATAGTTGTTAAGGTTTGTGTGTAGTTGTCCCACCAAAGCCTCATGCAGTCATTGGGGTGTGGTTCTAGAGTTCGTGATTGAATCACGACCCAAGGCTGGGCTCATGGGTCTGAGTAGTACTAGGATTATGGGTGTGAGTGCTCCACTCACCCTGGGTGGACAGCCAGAAGGCAACAGAAGGAAGGGAGAAAGCCTTGCTTCTGCCACTGCTGCCCTTACCCCTCCCTCCTGCTCTTGCTGTTCTGCTGCCCTATGCCACCATGCGCCACTCTGCCTGGGAGCCAGCTGAGTGCGGACTGAAACCTCCACAAACTGTGAGCTAAATAAACCTTTTCTTTCTTGATTTTGGGTGTTGGATATTTTGTCCCGGCACTAACAGAAAAGTAACTGAGACAATAGTGGCACTAGAAACTGCTTGAACAGTGAGAAGAAAATCACAAAAAAGGACACAAAATTAGGATTTAAAAATCATGTACATTACTGTTATCATACAGTAACAATAATAATCTTGTACCTGTGTGGACAGGCAGCTAACTTTTCCTGTTTTTCATACTTTACAAAATTTTTACAGTGATAATATGCAGTGGACCCTTGAGTTTTGAACTCAATTCATTGCCAAGGGCTGACTGGAGCTCAGGTTGTCAAATGAAGGCTCGGGCTCCTCTATGTGACCTTCAAAGTCTCCAGTCCACACATCACAGATCTCAGTGTCCTCAGAGAGACACTGGTCCAGGATTTCTCAATTAACCCCACCCAGAAAAGGATGTTGTCAAGCTCCTTCCAGAACTTTTTAGGGCTAAATCTGTGTCTGAGACCATTTGGAAGCACAAGCAGCCAGCATTCAGGTCCTAGCTCAAAACTCCAGTTGTAAGTTAAGACTAAAATTCCAGTCATGAGTCAAGCTGCTCATGTATCAAGCAGGTGTAACTCGAGAGTCCACTGACTACATTTACAATGCTACTTAAAGGAAATTTTCTTTTCATCACACAATTTTCAAGTTTAACAATGGAAGGAAAGGAAAACCATTCCAGCCAATTTCTAGGTGTGCTGCCTGAAAACTACTGTGGGTACTTCTGTAGCAACATCTCACAGACATGCACCTCTCGGTCTAGGAGCTACAAACCCATGCACCCAGCCTCCCAGAAACACAGCCTTTCCACCAGGGACAGTGAGCACCTCCCCAAACCAACAAAGGAAACACAGGTCTTGGCTCCTCCTTACCTGCTTCAGACCAGCTCCCCAGTCCTCCTCACCCCGAGAAATAAACGTACCACCTGAACTTCTGATCCCACATCCCATCAATCCCTTTGGCTTCTCTAACTCACTATCAGCAGCCCAAGTCCAGGTACGGTGGTGCTCGCCTGTAATACCAGCACTGGGGAGGCTGAAAACAAGAGGATCACTATGAGCTCAGGCTGCGTAGTGAGACCCTGCACTAAATACATTAAAAAAAAAAAAAAAAAAAAACCTATCAGCACCCCTGCCAGAGATATCAGCTCAGCTGAAGGCAAACTGCCCTCAAGATCCCAGGTGTCCAAGAGGGGTGGGGCCTTGAAGAAAGACCAGATGCCAGGAGCCGCCCTCCAGGACCAAAGGCTACAGAGCAGGGTAGGTATGACACTCAGAGGCTGCCCCTCTGCTGTTTTCCTCTTTGCCCACTTGCTGTGCCGCAAGTCATTGCCAAATGGGTGGCCTGATCCAAAAGCCCAAACCAGCCTCTTCCCTTACAAATTACAGCATCTGTGTATTAATAGCAAATGGACACTACTGAGACACCTCCTCACTTCCCTTGTCTAACCACAACACTGCCCAGCCAATGTACTCCCAGGGAGCAGCCCAGGATCCTCTTACATATAAGTAAAACAAGTCACTTCTGGGCTTAAAATGTGCCAAATACTTGCCAGTATTCCTAGTAGAAAACCCAAAACTCCCTATCGTGTCACAAGGTTCTACTCAGATTTTACCACGCCACCCACAACAGTGTCTCCAGGGTGTTTTTGTTGTTTTCTTCTAAGCTCTCCAGATGGTTCTGATGTGCACCTGGGGCTGACAACACAGGCTCTCTCCGAACTCCTCCATCACTGGGCCTCGACTGCCAAGGACAGCTCGCCTGCCCCTCTGCCTCGCGTGTGCCAATGCCTTAGCTATCCTACGACCTGCACGGTTTTGTTGACAAAGTTATTCTGAAAACATTTACTGGGTACAATACAGGTACAGGTTGTTATGTAGTTGGGATATAACAGACATGGTTCCTATGTGGTTTACCTGTATCCAAGGGAAGGAAGACAGGTAATGCACTGAACATGCATGCATACATGTATACATACACACAGACTCACACAGGACAGTTATCAGTGCTATAAAAAAAGGCATAGGGCACAGGGGAGGAAGAGAAATGCTGTCCCAAAGGATCACAGAGTGCCTCTCAGATGGGCAATGCCAGAACAGACTCCTGCATGAGGTAAGGTGGTGGCCCCTGCAAGTGTCTCCAGAAGACCAGCTGAGGGGCTTGCTCACAACACTCAAGGCCCAAGACTCTAGTGAGGCTGGAGCAGAGGGAAAGGCCAAGTTGAAGGAGAAAGTCGGAAATGGAGCCGAGCTCGAGCTGTGGGGTCTCCCAGGAAGACTTCATTTAGCCACTGAGGGGTCTCTGAAGAGTGAAGAGCAACACCCCCTGACTTGTCTTCAGAAGGCTCAGCAGGACTTCTGTACAGAGGTGTGGCGGGCAAGAGCCTGCTGTGAGACCGAAGAGGGACGGGGGCTGACTCGGCTCAGCGGTAGCAGCTAACAGGAAGCAGCAACCAGAGCTGCCTTGCGCTCTGTGGGATTAGCTCCTCTCCCTCTGAGGTCCACTGCTGCCCCACTCCCAGGGCCTGCCCTTGGCCCCAGGGGACCACACTGCCCACACCCTACCAGCTGGTCTCTGTCACATGGCAGCCTGCTTGCTTCTCCACAGCACTTCTCAGTGGTCAGGACCACCCTGCTCCTCTGCCCGTGTCTGATCTGCAGGAGAGGAGGCTCTGTCTGTCTTCATCCTTCACTCTCACAGCAATGCCCCAGTGTACCAAATTCCCCGAGGATTCTACAGGAGTGAGTGGAAGTCTCCCTGGATCCTCACAGGTGCACTGAGGTGTGTGCGGCTGGAACCCAGTCACTGCTACTCTTCAGGGAAGTTGACAATGTTCACGTATGTGCTATAGTAAAGAGTTAAAACTTATTTATTTACTGGTGGAACCAGGGATTGAACTCAGGCCCTTGCACTTGCCAGGCAAGCACTTATTCTATTGAGTCATCTCATCGGCCCTTAGTAAAGATTTTAGACTTTGACCCTATTTATGAAAAAGACTCTTCTTTATCATGTACCTTGTATTTGCATATTAATGGGAACACACTGAGCACTATGGGAAAGCACCACCCGCTGGCACAGCCACCTGCACTAACTGCAACAGACACATGGGAGCCGAGGATGGTTCTGGAACACTGCTGCTGCTGACAACATCTTTTAAAAAGGAGAAGTACAAAAACACTATGCTCAAAACTGAACTATGTCGTGCATACTTCATTCTAATTTCTCATGCTCCATCTGAGGTGCTGCATCACTACGCTCCGCTATGCAGAGCCTGTGGAAACAGGGCGGAATGTACTTACAAACTTCATCTGAGCTAAACCATAAAATGCTTTCTACTGGAAGATCAAAATACACAATAAATGTTTAATCCCCCTCAAGTCCTTCCCCGTGCCTTGACCACACTCATTGCATCATTCTTGCCACTTCCGGAAGCAGCTCTGGGGAGTTCCTAGTCTTGAGAATATTTCTGAGGTGTCACTGAAAACGTGGGGAGCACTGCTGCCCAGCGCCACCACGGCCAAGCAGGCTATCACGCCATGACGGCGCATTCCCACCCAGCTCATTCACTGGATCTGGCACATCCGACCACTGGCTTTTTCCAGAGTTAAAATGACCATAAAAGGGAAATGTTTCAAACTGATTAGGACACCCAAGCAGCCATGACAGTGCAACTAAAGTCCCTTAGGAAAGAGGACTTCAGAACTGCTTCAGAAAGGGGCAGGAATGATGGGGTAGTAAGAAGTGAGACAGAGATTTTTCCGAGGGGACTCACAGCAATGTAAGCTTTACTATAATACAACTTTTAAAAAATGTCAACATTCACTGCAGTTTTTGATCTCAACTCTCATGTTAAACAATGTACTGGTTTTGAGGCTAAAGATATGATCCTGGGAACAACCTGAAACAGTGTTTTGAATTAAAACCTCTACAGGGGGGCTGGTGAGATGGCTCAGTGGTCTAAAGCACCTACTTAGAACAAGCTAAGCAAAGCGCAGGGACCACAGTTCAATCCCCAGCACCACATGCCAGGCAGCCCCGCCCCCTGGTAGGCTGAGCTGGCCACACACACACACACACACACACACATAAATAAAATTAAAAAAATAAATAAATAAAGATAAAACCTCTACAGGACTGATTTTGTGTCTGAAAAGCAGGAAAGAAAAATACAATACATATTAAATGTCTAAGTTCTAGTAGTCAACAATAGCTACTACATAGCAAGTGACAGATAACAACATGATTAGAATTACGGTGTAGAAAATCATTCAGACAACAAATGTGGTACCGTTCTGAGTCTACCTAGTAAGCACAGGACAGCAGCCTCACCTGTCATCTCTGATGTGGTAGAAAAAGCCGTATCCATTGCGCACCATGGGGACCACCACTCCCTGGATTCTTAAGTAACCAACCAGACTTGTTGAGAGGACAAAATTCCCACCGCCTCCACTGCACAGCACAAGAAAGGGGTCATTTAGGCCAACTGATGCTGAAATTGTTTCTGAAGCATTTTCAGCTCTGGCACAAGTATAAAGCACTACACTACATTACCTTCGGGAGAAAAGTGGGTCTGTGAAGAGCTCTGGGACCGGAAGACCTTCCTCCTTTGCTGTGAGCAAAAGACCTAAAAGGTGACGGTCAAACCCTGCAACAGAACCCCATATCTGCGGTCAAAAAACATTCTCAACGTGTTCTTCTCATGACAGAATAATTCCAGCACACATACCTTTCCCAGAAGAACATTCTTTCATCATTTTGTTATGCTTTGCAAAAGCCTGTAGCATCTTTTGCTGCCGCTCAAAAAGCTGTGTTAAAGATTAAGATGATTGCATGTCAATACACACCAAGAAACCAAGTTCAGTAAAAACTGCACAAAACCCATCTAAGCAGAGAGCAGCTAAGCTCGCGATGACGAGCATTTGGGACGTCTGGGAGAGGAGAGATTTCCAGAAACCCATGGTGTGCGCCACTGTGTGTTTACTCAGTTTTCCTACCGCCTTTCTTTCCCCATGTGCTTGCTTTCTGACTGATTTTTTTTTTCTCTGTTTTGTTTTTTTCTGGAAAAGGAAAATGAGAATGTGCAGGCAGTGCTCAAAGAGTGACAAACGTAGTGACAAAAACAACTGGGACCTCAAAACTGAACAGTAATTACAAAAGTAACAACATGAAAATAAAATGTGTTTGACCAAGTTCATCAAAACTAAAATGACAGCAAAACCCAAAACAACAGCAAGCAAGAACTGTCTAAACACTTGAAAAAGCAAAAACCGCAAAACAAAACCTGTACACCTGTTCTGGTCCTGGTGCTTTCTGAGAACCAGAATCCATATTTCAGAAACAGCCCCTGAAGAAATGCTTCCCTCCCGAGGCTTGAGGAAGAGCCCCGCTGTCCTCGGTGTCACTCAACACGCACATCAGTCGGGCTCACGGAGCCAAGTATGAAGACACTGCCCAGAAACTGGCACGAACAGGCTGCTTTCTCCAGGCCTGTGTTTCTTTTGCTGTTGTTTGTTTTTTCAGCTTTTTGACAAAAACCACACATACGCAGATGTGCAACCTGATATCCGGGTAAACACAGACACCGTGAAAAGTCACCGCAGCAAGCTGGGTGGCAGGCTCATCGTCGTCTCGTGCAACTACCGCTTCTTTTCTTTTTCCCTTCGCGAGCTCTCTGCTTCTCAGTCTTTCCAAGCACATGCTTCACTGACAAATGAACACACATGTGCTTTGGAAACTTCAGAAAACAAAACGTTTCCAAGCATTTCAATGACCCAGGATTCCTTGAGAACAATAAAACCAATCTGGGAGCCTCCCCTCGGGGACACTCACGCTGGCAGAAGGGTCTTGCATGGCCTGGCACCACCTGACGGCCTCCATGGTGCACGGCCGCATCGTCTCTGTGCGGCCGTGATAGAAGTATCTCGTCATCGCTGTCTCGTAGCAGCAGCCAGGGCTACGACAACACAAAGAGTGTGTCATTAAGAACCACTCTGACATCATCACAAACACATCAAACCGATGAAGCTGGCTTTATTCAGAGACTGAGACCTCCAACACAGGCTCAAGTCAAAACTTGCACTTAAGAATGATTTTCAGGGGCTGGAGAGATGGCTCAGTGGTCTAAAGCACCTACTTGAAACAAGCTTGGCAAAGCACAGGGACCATGGTTCGATCCCCAGCACCACATGCCAGCCAG